TCTCCTAGGAATAAGAATGAAATATCCATTGAAAGCGCCAGGCATCCAAATGAGAAGCACAATGAGATATCCTGGGTTTAGCAATGAAATATCCAATGAAAGCACCAGGTATATCTATGAAAAGTGCAATGAAATATCCTAGGAACAAGAATGAAATATCCATTGAAAGCACCAGGCATTCAGATGAAAAGCACAATGAAATATCCTGGGGCTAACAATGAAATATCCAATGAAAGCGCCAGGTATCCATATGAAAATTGCAATGAAATGTCCTGGAGCTAAGAATGAAATATTCATTGAAAGCGCCAGGCTTTCATATGAAAAGCAAAATGAGATATCCAGAGATAATGAATGAAATATTGCAGGAAATCGCAATACAATATTAATGAGATCACTTAGGCCATTTAATGAAAAAACCAAATGAAATACACAGGGAACTGTAATGAATGAAAATACTAGACAAAATAATGAGTTGTCTCATTGAACCTCTAGGCATTATACACATCGCCTTCCAGGCATGTGTCTGGTTTTTATTATAAGAGTGTATACCACTAGTGGGCTTTCGAGAGTTTTCCGATGCTGCCAATCTATGTGGGAAATTGAGTTCACGGTGAATGAGACGGAAATGAATAGAAACAACCACCACTAGCGCTGTTGAGAACCCAGAGACCAACCCCACCGTCAGTGGCAATAGCAAGATGAGTTCCCGCCTGATGCACAGATATGGACGTCAATGGTGCAGTAGATGCTTGATATCCAACAGTGACCCATTCCTTTTGGCGAAGTTAGCAGGTCGATTGGATGATAATATGTCCAGACAGGCGTACCTGCCTTAACACGTCCACCTTTGTTGCGGTGAGGAAGCCTGACTCATATCCGCAGTAAAGGGTGTTGTTGGGGCCCCATTCCAAACAGGTCACCTCTGACTTGCCATCATACACCAATGGAGATCTTCTGGTATCCATATCCCAGAGTGTAATGAGGCTGTGGGATCCAACAGCCAGAGTCTGGCCCTCCGCAGAAAAGGCAAGGCAAGAGATCGGGCCCAATTTATTGTCAATTTTATACTTGACCTCGTACCGTAGAGTCGACATA